AGGGCTAGGAATGGGGAAAAAATAAGAACCAAGATGCATTATATAAAGGTACAATTCCCAATGAGAAATGTAACTGTGTTGTATACCTACAATGTACCAATAAAAGGATTTAACAAAAAAAATTTTTTTTTCCAATAGCTCTACTTTTTATTTTTTATTTTTTGGTACTGTGGATTGAACTCAGGTCCTTGCACTTTCAAGGCAGGCATCAGAACCACTGAGCTAAATCCCTGGCCCAGTTCTGCTTTTATTTTAGAAATTCTGTTGGTTTCTTTTCAAATGGCACTTTCATTTTTTTTTTTATGGTATGTTGATTTTTGGCTAAGTTTGGATTTCTGTTGACTCTTTTTTTTTTTTTTTGGTACCGGGGATTGAACTCGGATCCTTGCACTTGTGAGGCAGGCGCTGGAACCACTGAGCTAAATCCCCGGCCCCATCTATTGACTCTTTTGATAGTATCTTTACATAAGTATCCTTACATGAACTCAATTTCTTGGATTCTTATCCCTTGTATTCTCATTAACAGTTGATTGTTTCTTTGTGGTTTTGCCATGTGTAATTGTGTTTATGTTGATTAGGGCTGTGGTCTGCATTGTGGGATGGCTTCTCCTGTCCTTTAAATTTGCTTCAGTCAGAAACCTCCAGTGCTGTGGCTGGTCTTGGTCCAATTTTTATGTTAATTTATCAGCTCTGGGGATAATGTAGACTTGAACCCCAAGCCTACATGAGGTATGAGCTGCAGTTTGGAATTCTCAAGGAAGATTGCACCTTTCCATAGCCATCACCCACCCACCCAGTGCCTGGCCTGAGATGAACAAGCTTTTGTCAGCTGGCAGCTGCACAGTACATCACTGGATCTCAGTTCAGGTAGTGCTATTGGGCTGCAGGAGTGCAACTGACCCCAGTCTGGCTGTGAACGCCTTTAGGAAATACTTCATTTTTCCATGTTCTTCTTGGGTAGTACCAAAGACTAAGAAGCAGGGACCCAGCACTCAAATCATTTTATAGCTGTAAAGGAATAAAGATCTCTTTATGATTTGTAGGTATATTAACCAATTTTTATTTATTTTGTTTGTTTGTTTGTTTTTTTGGTACTGGGGATTGAACCTGGGACCTTGTGCTTGTAAGGCAGGCATAAGCCACTATGCCTGTATTGCCTGATTTTCCTTTCCTCCCTTCCTTCCTTGTGGTGTTTTGAGGCTAGGTCTTGCTATGTACTTCAAGCTGGCCTAGAACTCACCATGTAGCCCAGGCTGGCCTTAAATTCTTGGAGAGCCTCCTGCTTCAGTCTCCCCAGTGCTAGGATTATAGGCATGTGCTACCACACCCAGCACGCCTCATCTTTTTCTTCGTGTTTTTGTTTTTCCCCCCAGTACTGGGAATTAGACTCAGGACCTTGCGGTTGCTAGGCAGGCATGGCACCACTGAGCTAAATCACCAGGCCCCTTTCTTTGTTTTTTGAGACAGGGTCTCTCTGTGTAGTTTAGGCTGACCTTGAACTCACTATGTAACCTAGGCTGGCCTTCAACTTGAAGTGATCCTCCTGACTCAGCCTCCTGAGTACTGAGATTACAGGTATGTGCCACCATGTCTGGCATGGCTCATCTTTAAATAGACAATTTTTATAGACACACTCACATATACACAATAAGGGAGGGCTAATAAAATGACAGATGGAGTCTGAGCAGGGGTCTCTGGGAAAAGCAGGGAACATGGGGTGATGGGTTTCAGTCAAGACCGGAGGGGGAAGTAGTTGCCAGACGGATGGGGTGGGGAGCGCGGTCTGGAGAGGGAACAGTAGTGTAAAGACAGGGAACAGCATGGTGCTCAGGGAAGGGGAGCTGCACATGGAGTGAGAACGGAAAATGAGAGAAGTCCTGTGAGGGGGTTGAATGTGCTGGCTGAAGTTTGGGTTTTAACCCATGATGGGAGTCCTTGGAGGAGCAGCAGTGAGCAGATTTCCTAGTTAGAAAGGCCACCATGGGCCAGTGCAAGGCCCACAAGGCCTCCACACCTCCTGGGGATGTGGAAGGATGACAGCTGGACAGAGGAAAAGAATCAGTTACAAGCGGCCAGTTGTAAAAGATCTGGAGCTGCTGGAATGGCTCCAGTGCAGGGTGACCCATCATGTCTTTAATCTGTGTGTGCCTGTGACCATGATGGAGCACTGCCACCCGACCATGGGGAGAGGGAAAGGGCCAGCCAGGGGCCATCTTTGGAAGCATCAGGTATAAGAACAAAACTGTAAAAGGTGAAAGTGGAGAGGGTTGTAAGAGGACAGCTGGTGAGCACCTTTAGATGGATGACAGAGGGTGGTCAAGATGAAGGAGTGATTGGCCTCAAGTGTCCTCATTTTGGCATCAGTTCTTTTGATATCACAACATATATCCACATCTCAGGAAGTGTTTGGCCTGGCCTTAGAACAATGACAAAGCTGCCCTGAGATTTGGGGAATGTAGTAAGCTGGAAAATGGTCCTAACATCAAATCCCAGAACCTGTGAAGCTGCTGCTTACATAGAAGGGACTCTGCAGATGGGGCTAAATTAGACCTTGAAGGGCTGGGGATGGACTCAGTGGTAGAGTTTGCTTAGCATGCAAAGACCTTGGTTTGTCCCAGCACTGTAGAGGAAGAAAAAGGAAAATTCAGATCTTGACAGAGATGGATTATCCTGGTGGGTTCAGTGTAATTGAAAGTCTTTTTATGAAAGGGAGGCAAGAAGATCAAAGTTAGAAAAAGATGTGACAATTACAAAAGCTGAGTTTTGAGTGTTTCCCTTTGGAGGAAGGGGCCACAAGCCAACAGGTTCAAGCAGCTTCTGGAAGTTAGAAAAGGCAAGGAGACCGATTCTCTCTGCCCACAGCAAGACTGCAGCCTCACTAACTCCTTTATCATAGCTTCTGAAGACTCTCCAGACTTCTGACCTCAGGACTATAGGACCAGTTTGCATCAGTTAAGCCACTACACATGTGGCAACTTGTTAATGGCAGCCGCAGATGAACCTAGAGAGGGACAACTGGACTTTGGTCCTTGGAATAAACCAGGGGTTCTTGCAAGTTGGACCCATCTATCCTTCCATGGCTGGGTCTGGTCTCTCTGGAGTCCTACCTTCTTCTGGGTGTCCCAAGCTGACTTCAATTCCTCTGGCCCAAGCCTGCTTCTTCCATGTTCTGTTGTCACCTAAACCCAAGGCTGAGGAGTCCTCCGTGTAGTCAACCATGGTCAGGACTTCTAGTCATGACCTTCTGATCCCTGTGTGCAAGAGTGTGAGGAGGAACCGTGAGCCCACAGCCCCGGAGGTGGCTCCCAGGGCCTCCAAGATGTCCAGTGGGGAAGGACCAGAGTGCAGGAGAGGGCTTGGGCTGGCGAGGAGTGTGACTCTGTCCCCATCTTCATGGTGGGCCTGGAGGAACTGCCACCACCTCTTCTGTGTCCCACTTATATGCTCTCCATGGCAATAATTAAGGCAGATTTTACATTATAATTTTCTTTAAAAGACTATGACCAAGCCAGGTATGGTGAGGCCTGTAATCCCAGTATTCTGAGAGGCTGATTGCAAGTTTGAGTCCAGCCTGAGCAACACATGACATAGTGAGACCCTGCCTCAAAACAGAAAACAAAAAATGGGCTGGGGATGTAGTTCAGTGCAAAGGTCCTGGGTTTAATCCTATGCACCACAAATACAAACAAAACAAATGACCAAAACAAAAAAGACAAAAACCATGAGACACTGTTAATTATTATCAACTCTGGTTGTTGGGCGCATGGTGTTAGCCTGCCAGACACATTTGGCTCCAAGATCAGGATTACAGCTATGGGCATCGCCTGTCTTCTCTTCTCCTGCCCAGCCGAGAAAAGGATGTAAGGACAAAATAACCAGCATCCATTCTTCTTCAGTATGCTGCAGTTTTTCTTTGAGACCTTCCCATCTTCATCTATAGCATCTCAAACAAGTGACAAACACCGTGTTTATATTTTGATGCAGACAGATCTGATGTGCTTTGATTCTTCTTGGTGAAGTCAATTCATCTCCAGGGAATTTTCCATTTCTGTTTTCCAGGACATCCCTCTGGCTCCATGGTGACCAAGCACAGGAAGGCACTGAGGAAGGTGACCAGAGGGCCCATGGAGGATGTGTTAGACGCATCAGTGACAGACACACAAGTCTAAGAATGGAACCCACCAAAGCGCCTTGGGTGCTGGTTAGGTTTTATTTTAACAGGATGTTTTCTGTTCATTTGTTTTTCAAAATATCAGTTATATCAATATTAGAAGTGTAAACAGGTACAAAATATACAGTACATAGAAACAGTTTTCTTAACTAGTCTATTCCTAATAAAAGTACGCAGGAGGGAGCTGGATGAATGGGTACCACAGTCTCTCCCTCTGCAGGGGGACAGGAGGACTGGTTACTTCAACAAAATGGGAATGGATATGTGTGTGGCAGGGACAGCACTATGGTGGACAAGAAACCTGGGCCCCTTTCTAATTCCACCTTGCAGATACTCCATGTAGGCCCGAGTGAGCTACTTACCCATTATCAGCCCCAGAACAGCATGCATACCAGGAGGCCACACTTAGCCCCCATGCTGTGGATGCGGGAGTTCCTCTGGGGCCTGATCATTGCACTCATTGGATGCAGGACAAATGCTTTGAGAAGGCAAAACCCGAGAGCTTCCTCTCTAAACTGATGTTCCAGGAGGAATCCCGTCCCAAAGCGGCTTTCCCAGCTCCTGGCACACACTGTGCACCTGTGGTTAGGCTGTGCTGTGTCCGTTTGGAAGCCCTTTACTTCCCCATTACTGAGAAGAGAGATAGACCTGTCTTGCTGCTTTCCAAAGTCATGGTGCTGATGAAATGAGATGCGACGTGGATGGGATGCATTGTGAGCATGAGAACATAACATGTGGGGCAGCACACAGAAGCACTAGGGCACCGGCCGGTGGAGTTTGTCCAGACAGCCTTGGCTTCTTCACCTCCCAGACCTAGTGCTACAATGCCACATGACTCCCCGCGATAAGGCCCAGGAGTCACAATGGGGACACCTTCAGGTTCCCATGCACAGGTGCTACAGATGGCCCCAAATGGAACATTCAGGCCAGGGCTCTGGGGGACACCAGCTGACCCTGCAGTAGCTGCTCCTAGGCAGGTCCCTCCTATAGAGGGGAGGCTGGGGTTCCAGGCCCTGGTGCTCCAGGGCTGGACTAGCCAGGGAACAGAGTGGTGACTTAGCTCCCAGGGGGCTGTGTGGTTCTAGGCCTCATCCTTGGGAGTCAGTGCTGCAGGGGTGCCCAGGACCCTCCTTACCTCATGTCCCCCACTGGCCAACCTTCCTACACTTACCATGGGACTCCAAAGATGAGGACCCACACCCCCAAAAACCAAAAGCACACTACAGAACTTTAACTGCTGCTGCTACTCTTTTCCAGCCTTTTCCTCAAGTATTAAAAGAACAAAAAACTGGGTTTGCAATTAAATTACTGAAAATTCTACCATGGTGTTCAGTTTCACAGAGAATCCTACTTTGGAGGTGTAAGTGTACTGAGTTCTTTTTCCAGTCATCAGTTCAGCAATGTGGAAATTTGGTTCTCTCCCTTTTTTGCCTCTGCGCCTTTGAAGCCACCCTGCTGTCTGCACCTGCTCTGTATATCTGTGGCCGGGGGAGTCCAGGGATGGGGCTTACAGGTCCCCACCATCGGTAGGTCCCAGGACACTTAGGCCACAAGTCCAGTCGGTCACGAGGTCTGTGGGGGCCAGGGGTCCCTTGGCAGCGGGGCTCTTGAAGGGGTCGGGGGGCACGGCAGGCACAGGAGGCAGCGGCTGCCCTCGGGCTGGGGTCTTGGCACCCCCCGTGTGGTTGCGCTGGTGCTTGCGCAGGTGGTCCTTGCGGATGAAGCTCTTGCCACACACGGTGCAGGTGAAGGGCCGCACGCCCGTGTGGGTGCGGTAGTGGTCAATGAGCTTGGAGCGCTCTGTGAAGCGCTTTTCGCACTCGGTGCAAGGGAAGGGCCGCTCACCTGTGTGTAGCATTCGGTGGCGGATGAGGTGTGCAGGCCGCGTGAAGCAGCGGCCGCACTCTCCGCACCGCAGGGCACTGCTGTCCCGCGCGCTGCCACCGCCGCCACCGCTGCCACCACCACCTGTGGCCGTGGCCGCCGTGGAGGGGGCAACGCTGGTGCCTGTGCTGTCTGGCGGCCCGCAGCTGCGCTGGTGCGCGCTCAGGCTCACCTGCAGCTGGAAGCTCTTGCCACAAGTGGTGCAGGTGAAGGGCCGGCCGCCTGGGGGCGCTGCCGGGTGCTTCTTCAGCCCTGGCTTGTGGCCAAAGCCTTTGGTCCGGCCCGGGTATTTGCAGGGCTCGGGAAAGGGTCTCGGGGCCTGGCTGGGGTCCAGGATGGCTTCCCCGCCTTCCGGCGAGGAGAAGGGCAGCCCCTCGGGCCCGCTCCTTGGGTTCAGGCCCACCGGAGGCTTACAGCGGAAGTTCCAGCCCCACCGGACCCCACCAAAGAGCCAGTCTCCAGCGGGGGGCGTCTCCTCCTGGGCCACTGCAGGGCTGAGGTCGCCCAGGTCCCTCTCTGGCCGGGCTGGCTCTCGAAGCCCCAGCACGGGGTCCTGGCCAGGGAAGGAGCTGCCCTGGCTCTCCCAGGCTCCCTCCTGGACAGGGCTGGGGAAAAACCTTGCGGCCTGGCCTGGCGCAAACAGGGTCCCGTGAGCCTCCAGGTCTGTGGGATGCACAGGTGTGGCCACCACCTCCTCTTCCTGGACTTCTGTTTTGATCACGATTTTTACATCTGCTGAGAGAGACAGAAAGGCAGGTATTATTTCTGGCTCTCCTCTCTGAAGGAGCTAAGATGTGCAGCAGCTGCTCAGCCCCATAGGCGCCAGGCAGGGCCCTGGTGGCCCAGCCCCAGGACCACAACTCTGCGGAGAGTCACTCTCCCTGGCCCATCCAGGCTGCATCAGACCCAAAGTACACCCATGTCTTAGTGCCTTCACCACAAGAAAAGCAACCCTCAGATCTGCCCCCAGGCCCTGCTTTCACTTTGGCTGTCGAGGCTAATCTTGGATTTACCCCAAGTGAGGGATTCTGGCCAATGATGGCCAGGTGCCCACAGGGCAAAAGTACAGACCTGGTTCAAAGGAATCTGAGACTGTGCCGTAGGCCTCCACAGACAAGCTCTGGGCACAAGCACACTGCTTCCAGCAGCTCACCTGAGTACTGCATGTCAGAGGGCTGTAGGAGGAGTAACCAGGTAACTGTCCAGAAACACTTTGTGTACCACTTGGCACATAGCAGGCACTCAACAGAGGCAGCCACCTCCCTAATGCAGTATTAGTGCAGTAGGAGGATTGTGCTTGATTTCATGTACATGTGCTTTATTTCCCATCCCAAGGTTTTATATCAGAGTTCTTAATTTTTTTTGGTACTGGGGATCGAACTCGGATCCTTGCACTTGCGAGGCAGGCAGAGGAACCACTGAGCTAAATCCCCAGCCCCAGAGTTCTTAGCTTTAAGGCCATCTGGGAGATGGGTGCTAAAATAAGAAATTATTATTTTAACAGTAACTGGCCTCCAAACCCTAATTAGAGAGAAAACTAATACATGAATTTGGTAGTTGTTCTTCACAATTCTGCCCTTTAGACACTGGCTCTGGTAGTGCCAATGTCTAAGAGGTGGACATGGCTTTGTTTCGTTGATTCTGGGAGGAGGCCTTGCCTACCAGCATGAGCTTATCAGAACACACTGCAGTTGGAAACATGGATGCTCTCAAGAGAGGCGACTCAGGGCTGAGAATTTAGAAGGAGCCAGAGAAAAGAATGTATGACGAGTCATGAGTTCAGGCACCCAAGTGCCTGTTGGCGGAAAGGTCAGCATGGTCACCAGTAAAAACAGGGCTCCCGGGCTGTGGCATCCACCCTCCTCTCCTGCCACCTCACTACCTTCTGTGGAGGCTGCCATGTTGAGCTTCAGTGTTCCATCTGAGCATGCAGAGGACGGGTGGTGGGGTGGGAGCTCTGCCTGCCAGGAAGTGGGTGGGATGGTTGTTGAAAAGTTGGAATGGACGCCTGCAATGAGGAGAGACCAGAGTGTGTAGGTCAGGGAAGGAGGTGGGCAGAAGAAAATCACGAGGGGTTGGCAGCCAAACCCTGAGATCCCCCACCAGGACCTTAATGAATGACCATGACATTTCTGAGGCCAGTGTCTTTCACCCCCTCTCTGAAGCACTAGGACACTCAGATGTCACCGACTTAGCCACCAAGCCCTTTACCAATAGGAGAGGATGGCACCAATAGGAGTGATGTCATAGTGCTTGCTTCGGCAGCACATATACTAAAATAGGTAGTGATGTCATAGCTGGAGGCCTGGGGCAGGAAGAGTAACCATGTGTTTGGGGAAGTGCCCATATCTGTTGGACCAGAGGAACCCCTAGGAACAGTGTCACTTGTCCCCAGGGGACCCATGAGGTGTCTTCTGGTACAGCCCCTGTCCGCAGCTCTTCTCCTGCTCCTGGGAGCTTTCCCCGTTCCCTGCCCTCAGCCCCGTACCTCGAAGCTACTCACCAGAGGTGGCATCCGTGGAGATGTCTCCTGCTCCTGAGTCCAGCTGGCTGAGGCCCCAGGGCTCCTCTCCCACGTCCGGCTGCCCAGCAGCCCAGGCTTCCACGCCCAGCGCCTGCTGCTCCTGCAGCTGCAGCTCCCCCTCCTGCTTGATCTGCATCAGGAGGTCGGGGGCAGGAACTGGGGGCCCTGAGCCTAGGAAGGGAGAGTCTGTGAGCCCCTGGCTCTGGACTGGATGCACAGCTGGCCAAGGAAATAGACACCCTGGCCTCACAAGGGTCCAGAAGCAGAAGATCCTGGTGGGAAGGGACGGTGGTAGCAAACAGGGACTCCAGGGCCTCTGGGCAGAGGACATGGTCATATGGTATTGGGTACCTGGGCAGGGTGGAGGAAGTAAGGTCCCAGGGCTAGGGTTGGGCCCTAGGGAAGTCCAAGCAGTCGGGGGAGTCCTACTCTCACTTTAAACATCAATTCCAGATGAAACTGGAACCCCAATCCCCCCTCAGGCCTGCCCCCATGCACAAGAATTGTAGTGAGCTCAAAGGAAAGATTCCAGATGTAAGAATCACCAGAGAAACATAAGTTTTTCAGGAATTAGAGTGGAAAGCAAGTGACCTGGAGAGTTGTTGGAACAGGACACAGGCCTCAGGGCTGGGCTTTCCTGTCCATGTGGGCCAAGCTGCCTGCATGAAGCCAGGAGCCATGCGGCTCTGTCCTGTCTGTGAGACGGGGACCAGGAAAACTCCATCCAGCCAAGGGAGTGACCAGGGAGCTGCCCACTTGTCCAGGGCTGTGCATGGGAAAGTGACCTAAAAGAAACCAGAGCCGCATGTCCAGGTAGAACTCACTACTCACACAGTGCAGACCCCTAAGCTGAGATGTTCACTGAAACTCAGCTAGGAGCCATGGCAACCCAGGAGGCCTCAGCATAGGGCAGCACAAACCTGTCCCCTTGGGGTATCCCCACCACAGGGGCCTTTCTACAAACTAAAGCTAGGCTAAAGCCAGAGGAAAATTAAATCTTAACAACCACAAGAGGAGCCAAACAGCAATGGGAGTCAAGGCAGACTTTACTCCCAAGAACCACAGGACAGTTCAAGTGATCCAGGACAGGTCAAGTGATACAATGCCAGACTATGTCTAAAATCTTCAAAGACAGGAAAGGAACAGGAGCTCCAAAGCAAGAACAGTAAATTATTTTTTTAAAAGGTAGATTTGAAAAAGAACGAAGTAGACATCCTAGAAATGACAAGAACAGTCATGGAAATGAGAAAATTAATAAGTAGCTTAATAGGCTAACATAGCTGAAGAGAAAATTAGTGACTTAGAAGATTGATCTGGGGTTAATAATCCAGAGTACAGCACTTAGACATGAAGGAATGGAAAATTTAAAGAGGAGTTAAGAGCCATGGAGGAGAAAATGGAAGTTCTAATATATGCTGGTAGAAATCCCAGAAGCAGAGAATAGAGAAAGGGATAACTGGCAATAGGAGAAGAAATAATGGCTGGGAATGTTCCAAAATTGAAGGGATTATGAAGGCATAGTTTGAATGGATACACCAATTCCCAAGCAGGAAATAAAAACAAACACACACAGACAATATTCATGTGAAATGGAATAACAACAAAAATGAAGAGAAAAAAAATCTTAAAATACTGAAAACAACAGATTGAAAGCAGATTTTCTTCAGCAATGAGGCCATCAGAGGATAAAAGAGTATCTTTAAAATGCTAGAGAAAATATCTGTCAACTCATCCTATAAGGCTATTATAATTTTGATTGTACAAATTAGAGGGTAGTTTATGAAAAATGTACAAAATAATCTCATTTATGAATATATATGCAAAGATTCTAAATTAAAGAATTACAAATTGAACCCAGCAATGTATTTCCAAAAAGGGGAAAAGAGAAATTATGAACATTATGAACAAGTTAGTTTTATCCTGAGAACTCAAGGATGAGACCACATTAAAGAATATAGTAATTATAACTCACAGAGTTAACAGATTAATGGCAAAGACAATATCATCACTTTAAAACATATGAAGTAGCTTTCTACTCCTCTACTTCTGGCATACGGCTGATTGAATGTGCAGAGAACAGGATAGAACATCTGGACTAAACTCACAACCCAAAGCAAGACCCTGTGTGGCAGGAGGCTGAGCAGGGACAGGAGCCCCTCGCCTGGCAGTTGACACCCCCAGGCCTGCAAGCCAGGGAGGTCTGCAGTGGAGTCCCGTGCCTGTAATGGCACCAGGTGCCCAGGAGAGGCGCAAACCGATCCTCGGGGTGGGGTGGGG